TGACTATCCAAGCCTGAATCACAGTCTCATTTCTATGGCTACAGTGGTTTTAGTGGTTCAGCCCTACCAAAACCATATGGCGTGAGTTTCCAGAGGAAAGAGTGTGTGCTGAATAGACAAAAGCAACAGGTGTCCACTGAAATGATTTGAGGAGCGATGGACAACATGAGCTAATGCCTCAGTCTTGAGGCTTTTGAGGGTGGGACTAGGACTTGCAATAAAGTCACCATAATTCACCAGACAGGTGTATGCTCTCAGCATGCTCAGGGCAGGGGCAGCTCCACCATTTCTGCATTTCTTCTTGGAAGAGGGATGCCTGCCTATGTTGGACAGTGCAGAGGACTCCCCTCTCAACAAGTCACCCTTTGGAAGGACCACTACCTGGAACATAAGAGCTGGTATCCCAGCTCTAACCTGTGGAAAAAGGAGCTGGTCCAGCTGACTAACATTATCAAGCTCAGAGGGCCTGATAGAGACAGGCCCCTTCCTGCCCGGCTCCACCTGTTGCCTGGGAGTCTTGATCCTCTGGAAGAAAACCAACAGGCTGCTCAGTCAACAGGCCTTGACTCCATGTCCGTTTTTGGAGAATGCGTTTGTTACTATTTGTGCTTATGTCTTTGTGTGTGGACCTGCGTGTCAAATGCAGATACATGGCTATGGTCCTCCTGGCTGAAAGAACACAATACAATTCTCCACCTGCCTGCTGATGATTGAAATTCCACCACTTATGGGATTACTCCCCTTGCTTCAGAATTACCTCCTCTTAAAAATGCAAATTTCCCAGAAGAGAAAATACTGTTAGCTTGCTTATTTATAGTTAATAAGAGTAAGCTTGCCAAGTTCTTTCATGAGAAATATTTTTTATGAAAAATGCTGAACTTCTTAACAGAGTCTAGTAACTAAGCAATGGGGTTTTTGAAGGTGGTTTTATCTAATTTACATTTGAGGTATCCACCTGGCAAGAACTTCCATATTGCAGTTTCTCACCACAGTTTCTTATATGAATAAACTTCTGGTTACCGTTGACTTCCTGATAAAACTCAATTGTACACAACTGTAAGTGATACTATTTAAGATGTAATGGAAAATCGAGGAGGAGGAATCATGTCCAATATTTGAGTTTAACACAGGGTTGAAATAAAGAAATAGCTCTAAGACAGAAAATGGAAACCCTGAGTTCAGGACTCCGGATTTTGGAGTAGGAGGCAACTGGGAAAAATTTTAGGGTCTGAATTATTAGAAAAACTGCTGAAGGTGTCAATCTTCCCATAGAAGGAGGGATGGAGAGGTTGGAGCTGACCTTAGCGGACACTGAAGGGCACGTGGCACACAGATATCTCGGTTACATCTGGCTGATGGAAGCCTCATTCACTTCCTTCTTTGCCTCTTGTATCAGGATAAAACTTTTAAATGCATTTCCACTTTGCTGAGAGGCAGTGTAATGCAGAGGTTAGCAGCCCAATGTATGGCCTTAGACAGCTGAGGTACAGATTCCCATGCCGCCATCCATAGTCATATGACTTTGGGCATCGTGCTTAACCTTTCAGGCCTCAGTTTCCTCCCCTGAAAAATGGGAATAACAGTAGTTTCCAACTTATGGGGTTGGAAAAACCCAAGCACCTTGGAGAAATAATTAATAAACAATAAAATAAAATAAATCCACTTCTGTATTATTTGATGCAGAGCCCAAGCTTTCTACTTTTTCACTTAACAGATTGTCCCCTCTCTATGGGGGAGGGCGCCTCAGGCCCATGGACACCTTGGGGGTGTTCTATGCCAAGGTGCCAACTGCATCCGGCACGGTGCTTTCCTTGCTGGGCTAGGCCTCAGAAAACGGCAGAGTGCCAGACTTTGGCCAATGCCAAAGGCACTGAGGTTGCTGCGTTTAGGACTTTTCCTTCTCGAAAGTTTTGAGGGCATGGGCATCGGGTGAGCCTGCTTCTCTTTTCATCCATAACCCTAAACCCTCCTGAGCCATGGCAAGAATTGTCATGTAAACTCAGCTTTTTTTTTCTGTAGGGGACGTAAACCATTTTTTTGTATCTACCCCAATCTCCAAAGCTTTCCTGTAGATCTCTCACATTCTAACCTCCCTGGTTGACCTGATCCAGATTTTCCTTATATTGGCTGGTTGTCTTGAGGAAATGTGGTTATGCTCAAAGCCAGATTGCTGGCCGGGCGCAGTGGCTCATGCCGGTAATCTCATCACTTTGAGAGACCAAGGTGGTTATATCACCTGAGGTCAGGAGTTCAAGACTGGCCAACACGGCGAAACCCCGTCTGTACTAAAAACACAAAAATTAGTCAGGTGTGGTGGCAGGTGCCTATAATCCCAGCTACTTGGGAGGCTGAGTCTGGAGAATCGCCGGAATCCAGGAGGCAGAGGTTGCAGTGAGCCAAGATTGTGCCATTGCACTCCAGCCTGGGCAACAAGAGTGAAACTCTGTCTCAAAAATAAATAAATAAATAAATAAATAAATAAATAAATAAATAAATAAGCAAGCCAGATTGCTGGGGATGGGTTCCTGGCTGGTGACTATGGGCAAGTTACTTAACCTCTTGGCCTCAGCGTTCACATCTGCAAAATGAAGATAAGAATGGTATCTGTTTCATCAGGTTGTTGGACTATTAAGTGAATTAATACGTTATGAAGCATTCCATTTGGTGCTTTGCACATAGTAAGAACTTCAGATGTTAGCTAGTATCTTGCCTCATACATGGGTCATACTTGCAGATGATGTGCAAGTGAACTCTGGGCTATTGTTCATTACTCTGCATTAAATACCTCCACAGGAAATATAGACATTTGCCTGGTGGTATGAAGGATGACCTGCACGTCGGAAAGTCATCAAGGTGTACTTTCACCTTTCTTCCCAGAGATGCATATAAAATATAAAACCCCAATTCATTCATTTCTGTACTCATAAATTCAATTTCCCAAGGCACTGGGAATTTACCATCCTGTTGGGTGGAGAAGTCAGAACTTGACCTTTCTTTTCTACTCTGTGATTGACCTTGTGTGTTAGAACATAAGTTGAAGGAAGAGGAGGCATGTCTCCTAGATGCTGAAGGTACTGTTGCTCTCTTCCAAGAGTGTCTTACTCCTTCACAAATATTCATTGAGAACCTACTGTGTGCCAGGTACTGCTGTGGGTCCTGAAAATACAGCAGTAACCGAGGAGGGTGAGGTCTTTGTTCTCTTGGAGCTTGAGTTATCAAGATCCAACAAACGCCAGCATTCTACAAGAGTTTATTATTAATTGCCTCTTCTTCTTCAGTACAACATATTCAAATGATGACCCTCAATGACTGCAAGAGTCTAAAGAGCCTTGTGAACCACCAAAGAAAGACAACAAGATGGCCACTATAGTTTTGATGATATGCATATTTGTTGTATTATACCTTTTTTTCATTTCATTTCTTTTCTTTTCTTTCTTTCTTTTTTTTTTTTTGGAGACCAAATCTTGTTCTGTCACCCAGGCTGGAGTGCAGTGGTGCAATCTTGGCTCACTGCAACCTCCACCTCCTGGGTTCAAGTGATTCTCCTGCCTCAGCCTCCCAAGTAGCTGGGATTATAGGCATGTGCCACTGCCACCCACTCTGTAATACTTTTTTGAAAACAGATAGTCCATATAACACATCTATAGCCTCCATAAATACTTAAACTGAAAGGCCTGTTCCTACACCATAGTGAAAAATAAACACACTTCCTCTACATGGT